TGGCCCACTGCACTGAGACAGAGAGTTTTGTAAAAGACATAAAACTGGAGTTTTCAACAGACAGGATTTGAGTAATAGGAAACAACTTGAAAGTCATGGAATCTGCCCAGGACTTTGTTAAGGGATTTTCTACCCAGCTGGGAAGAAGAATGTGACATAACACAATAGGGGGCAAGGACTGGTGAAAAATAAAACCATTTCATGTTTGCTCCCCACTGAGCTGAGCCTTCTCAATAAACTAGAAACACACAGATGCAAAAATCAACTGAGAACTGGAGGAGGAAGGGCAGGCGTTAGCAGTGAAAGAAGAATATTATTTATGCAACTTTACAGAAATGATTTATTGTAATAAAAACAACCCATAAGTAATAGGTGGAAGAAATATAAAGAAGCAAACATTTGCAGCCCTCTTTTTCAGCAGTATTTGGAGTTTTCAGATTCTTTCTTTTACACTCAGTTGTGGGCAGTACATGTTGAAGAATCTAGAGAGGTTTACACTTGACACTACAAGGAACATTTATTTCAGACATTGGCTACATCAATTAAATGCAATGTGTATTCACAGCATCAGTCATTTCACACAGCAGCTCATTATAATGCATGTGCCTTGCAAAAGCAGCCAAGATTCAGTGAGGCATAAACCACAAAGCATCATTATAGATCATACATCACTATTTTTAAAAAATATTAAAGTTTTACAATGGTTTTCTTCTCCAAATTATTGATGCTGGTTAAAATTACCAATTCTTTTCCTCACTTATTCAGGGTAACTTCTATTTGACTTTCCATCCTGATTATACAAATTGACCCTATAATTACTTTAATTCAACAATAATTTTAAAAAGTGTTTTCACACATAATAAAATGACAGCTATAAATTTTGNCTCTAGATTTATACATCACATTTCTTCCAAAGGGTTTTCAGATATTATCTCATTTGTCTTCCAACATCCCTGAAAGATAAGTAGGGGCAGGTAGGTTCATCTGCATTCCCCAAGATGGATTATCTGAGTCAAGGAAAGGTGAAGTCATAGCCAACTGCTGAGCTCAGGCAGCAGTCAGACTGGAATTCAAGCTGGCTGCTTCATCTTGGAAAGTGGGCCCTTTCCACCGATCTGCATAACAAAATTGTGCAAGGGAAGGTGTCAAGGGATGGGAGACTGAGGTTGGGGAGATTCCAGAAAAGAGATACAGCTCTGTTATTTCATTGTTATTCTTTCTAACATCTCCTCTGGTGCTTCTGCCCATAGGAATATGAAAGAGCAGGTAAGGATCTGAAACAGGACTTTTCCTTTTGCTCCAAATTGGTGATTAATGTTTAATGCTAAGAACAGGAAGAATGTAAGTACCCCATATTCTAAAAAGAACTGAAAACAATAGGGGCTTATAATCTTCAGGGCTTTCTAAGGCAGCTGAAGTAGACTTCACATCACTCTAGCTTTCTGACTTCCTTTACCCGTCTATGGAAAAAAATAAGAAAGGAGACAGGGAAGAGAGAGGTCATCAAGAGCCACAGATTTTTGACCTAATGGGATGTAAAATCAAGCCCCTTTCCCACATGCAAAATAACAGGAATTAAGAGAGTCCCTAATAGATATTGGGGTCCCAGCATGAAATTGGTTTCCATTATGCAGGGTATTCCTGATCTTCCCTGTACCAACTGGGCCAAGGGAAAGTGAATTGAAAAAGAGACAAAAGACAGAAGAAGGTGATTTCAGTATCACAGTTTGTTCTTCCAGTATTTGGTTCCCATGGTTAAGTGGACATCTTAGAAGAAAGCTGGACTGGAACCACCTTACCAGGACCCCACAGAAAAGTACCACTCACCAGTTGAGGAGCTTCAAAGGGATCAGGTTCAGGAGACCATGCAGAAGGGAAGCCCTCCACAGGCCTTCCAACAAATTCACATATGCCCGCATGAGAGAGCCAGCTGTGCACACAGCAAGCTGTAGCCTGGGGAGCCTCAGCAATCAACAGAGAATTACAACAGCACCAGCCATGTAAGAGACAACTGTTCCTCTTTGCTTTTCTTTCTCCCCACGTAACCATGCAAGGAAAAGGAGAGGAAGAACATGTTCAAAGGCCAGCCAACCATTCTGACTCTGGGCTCCCAAGTGAGATAAGGGTTGGAGGAGGTGACAAGCAAGCCACACACCCTCCCCATGGATCGGGGAGCCCCAAGCCTGGCCCACTGCACTGAGACAGAGAGTTTTGTAAAAGACATAAAACTGGAGTTTTCAACAGA